TGAAAAAATGTCATTAAACTAAAAGACTGATTGCTCTGAAATTCTGTATACGCTTTAAGTTTATCTACTACAAACACGGCAAATGATTAATCAGAATTTATCAGTTTGTCCCCTCCAAAAAATTAATGACGTCGTCCCAAAATATTGCTAAGTCATTTGAAATGTGTAAAACAGCAACCTTTCGGTTGATGAATTAGTCTGCAATCTGATCGGGAAAAAATTCAAAATGTTGCAACAAAATTTTACAAATGATCTTACAAACAACATAATTAATTGCTCTAAAATTTTGGAAAAGCTTAAAGGTTATCATGAACACACGAAACTACTGATCAGAACTTGTTGCTTCAACTCCTCCAAAAACTTCATGACGTCATCTCAGAAAATTGATACGTAATTTTTTGAAATATACACAATATGTACCGCGCTTTTGTGCCTGCGATTTATTAATCTACAACAACTTCTAGCTCTATGTATGTGGGCTATTGGATAATTTTCAAAATATTGATTACAATAAAATTTTACGATTTGCCTTAGGAACTAAGATAAGGCTGATTTTGGCGAATGATATACTCTCTAAAAAATAGAGGGCGGGTGGGCGGGGCTAGTAATTGTTAAGATAAGACTGATTTTTGCAAAAGAAATGCGCGGGGCTAGTATGTAATGAATTTCTATAAAAGTTCGTCGACTTAATATTTTTTATCACTTTAAAAACGACCTATTTAATATCCCTGAAAATTTGTTTTTAATTAATAAATTTAAATGTTTATCCTCACCAAGAAATTTAAGAAATATCCACATTTTTATTGAATGATATGTTTTAATATAGATATATATGTACATACAAAATTCATTGTGTTTCAGAGGCAGCAAGAGTTCAATTTAACCAACCTAAGGCCAATTTTCGAAGCATTCGCAGTATGATAAGAGGGGCTCAAATTTAGAAAAAAAGTTCTAAAGTCATTTAGACAGAATTTCCCACACTCCTAGACGACAAACCATTAAACAGGTTCAGTTTTTAGATAAATTATACAAAATTTACGATTATTTTTTACGATAGTCCATATGTGTTAGTACAGAAAAAAATGTTACATAAAATATAATATTAATAAAAATAATATGTATCCATAATTTCGGGAAAAACAATTAAATCAATAAAATATAGTGTTTAATTTACACTTATTTTAAAAAATCTGTACATTCAATTCTAAAAAATGTGAATACATCATTAAACGACAAATAAAAGAGCAGGTCACACTATAAAACTTAAGCGAGATTTACTTATTAACATTTTGAGATACCATCATCTTTCAGAATAGGTAAATTCTAATAGGAACTTTCCATGTTAGTAATAATCCTAAAACGTGATGTGCAAAACTTAAAAGCAATCGGTATTGTGGTTTCCAAGTTATACTTATTGTATAGGGTGTTAACAAATGATTTACATCCGCTTCATTTGATTTTTTGTTAAATTAATCTGTCAATTAAGTGTCAAACTTTGAATAAAATTTTAACGATAGTTTTTTTAAATCACAAAGGATATGAAAACATGTAGACTCTAGAAGAAGATAAATTTGTTATTGAAGCCTACTTTTGGTCCTGCGAAGAGACTGATGAAGAACGACAATATTCAACTTCTGCCACTAAAAATCTGTATTATTCCAAAGGGACAAGTTTTTTTTTGAAGTCGTATTCACGACATCATTATAATAATTCGCCAAAATCAGTTTTATCTTAGAAAGTACTGGTTCCAGCTACTTGTCTTTGATTTTCTTAGAGGGCATTTCATTTGCAAAAATCAGACTTATCTTAAAAGTACTAACCCCGCCCACCCGTCCTCTATTTTCTTAGAGGGTATTTCATTTGCCAAAATCAGTCTTATTTTAGCAAATATTAGCCCCGCCCACCCACCCTCTATTTTTTAGAGGGTATATCATTTGCCAAAATTAGTCTTATCTTACCAAGTGCTAGGCCCACCACACCACTGTTTTCTTAGAGGATATGTTATTCACCAAAATCAGTCTTATCTTATGAAATATAAGCCCCGCCCACCTGCCCTTTATTTTCTTAGAGGGTATTTCATTTATCAAAATCAATCTTATTTTGGCCGATACTAGACCCACCCACCCACCTTATATTTTTTTAGAGGGTATATCATTCGCCAAAATCAGTCTTATGTTAGCAAGTACTAGCCCCACCCCACTACTGATTTCTTAGAGGATATCTCATTCACTAAAATTGGTCTTAACTTAGCAAATACTAGCCCCGCCCACCCGCCCTTTATTTTCTTAGAGCGCATTTCATTTATCAAAATCAGACTTATTTTAGCCAATACTATCCCCCGGTATAATTTTATTGCACTATTCTTTGTTTCTTTTTATTATACATATCATTTTCACGAATAATAAATTGTGTTTTTATTTAAACTCTTCTGATAGATTCGACTGAAGATCTGGAATGTTTAAACGTATCCGGAGCAGTAGAATTTGGTTTATTGCTTCCTGTAAGCGTAGAAAGTACTGTAAGCGAGTCCGTGTCTCTACTTGTACGTTTTCTCGACCTTTCATAACCTAGAGTACGAAAAAATAGGTCCCCCTTTTCCGTCTGTCTGTCTGTCTGCCGTTTTTTATTAGACAGATAATAATCTCCGAAAGTACTGGTCCGATTGTTTAAATTGTTTGTAATGTTTAAATTTAAATTGATTATTGTTAAAATCAAGAATTGCAAAAACTGAATACTTTAAAAACTAAAATCTTGACGTTTTACAGTTATTATAAGCATGGTAACTTTTTAGTCAAAAATCTGTTTATCAACCGCAAAAAATTGATTACGTCATCTCACAATTTTGCCGACTAAATCCGACCTAAAATGTGCAAAATATGATCTGTCTATTCTTGTAATTTATCATTGCATTCATATTTTTTAGATTTGCTTGTACAGCGTGACTAAAAAAAAAAAAAATCAGTAAATTTATTTTATTGAATAAATCAAGAATTGCAAAACTGAATGCTTTGAAATCTTGCAGACCTTTTCAAGTCGTTGTAAGCATGGTCAATTGTTAATTAAAATAAATCTGTTTATTCCCTCAAAAAATTTATGACGTTATCTTAAAATTTTGCTGAATAAATTCTACCCAAAATGTGCAAAATATGATGAGTTTTTACTTGGAATTTATCATTAGATTCATATTTTTTATTGATCAAATTAAGAACGAGTCACTCCATTTTCCCGAAAATGTAAAAATACAAACGTATTTATTTAATAAGAATTATAATAATGATATTCAGAACATTTTGTCGATTGTAACGCACTACTTACAGTTTTGATTCTCTGTTTTAAGGGGACGAATTAATTAAAATCAGACTAATTTCTACGTGACATTCTTCCGATGTATAAACATAAACACTTTCAAGTTGTTTTTCTTATCGAGGATAACCTAAGGACGTACAATAATGGAGTCCATCTGGTAATTTGGTACTTTTATATTTTCTCGATATTTCGTAACCCCTCGCCGTAGTTAGGGAGGCTAGGAGATGCTGAGCCTCCCCTAGATCTAGACAAGTTATAATTAACCAAATGTGAATTACAACATCGAAAATCAAAATAAAATGTAGTGTTTTATTAAATAAGCGGAAGTCAGAGCAATAAAAAAGTCTGGACCGTCGGCATTGTGATCCAATTATTGCAGTTCGTAGAAAACATCTTTTAGTTTAGTTTCTGTTTCACTCTCAGGTCCACAGGTTGATAAGTGTTATCGCTATTTGTCTTAAATTACGAGTACCATAAATGGTTTATATATTGATTATAAATTACTATTCAAGAATAACAATAATATAATACTTTTATTATTAGTTAGTTATTACAATGCATCTATTCAAACTGATATATGCGTCCTTGCAAAAATGTGGATGACATCAAGACAAAATTTTCTAATAGAAAAACTCACTTGTAACAAACGGTTAGCACGTTTCTTTAGCTTTACTCAAACATCAGATACATATTTTTATTTTAGCTTATAATGGTTGCTATAAAAGACAATAAAATTCGCAAAATCAAATGTTCAATAGATACTTATTAGAATAATACGTCCACATAATTCTACCTGAAATAGTTCTACTATTAGTAATTATATACATGGCTTTCATTACTGTTTGATATCTAGTAGGACATGCATTTTGTTTGTAAGTTGGTGGTACTGACAGAATGTCAAGTTCAATATAAATATGACCTTTAATGTCAAAGTCGCGTGTTGCCATTATTGTGGTACTTGACGTAATTAGAATTGATTCTAAAAATCCATGGTCTTTTACTGCATATCACACATTAATGAAATCCCTGTATAACATTGTAATATTGTTCTTATTATATAAAAAATCAGGGTATTACTCTGAAAGTGACAACCACAAATTATCAGATTTATTACTAAAATAAAGACTTTTTCAAAAATTGTTACTGTTTTGAGATTCTTATTAGTTTTTTAGTACCAGTTTTTACAAATCTTGTAGTTTTACAACCAAAATTTCACTGAAGTACTCGTAAGTACCTACATACATTAATTCATCCCTTGTGGCAAAAAATTTACAAAGACTGTCACTAGGAATACATCAATGGCATTATAACTTCGAAAAAATAAAAAACTATTTTATTAGTAATTTAATTAATGAATTAAAATTTGCCGCAATTTAATTCAGCATTTGTCAATGCACTCCCGATTTTTCATCGAATTTGTTCCATATCTATAGAAAAACACCGTATAATATTTTAATAATGTTTACTTAGAAATTGTCAATTAACAATTACCAAAGTAATAACTAAGTGATTGTAAAATAATAAATTATACCGAAGATACCTGCAGTACCCGAAATTATAATTACAACTCTGGAATTAACGGAATTTGTTAGACTTAGGTGAAATTATTTCGGAGGTATTCGGAGCTGGAATTATTTACTGTCTACGCAATTTTCGACGAAAAACCCGGATATTTTTACAGTTAACGTGATTACCAGAACCCCGTGTGCGGTATGTTCACTATCCAGCTTGCCGTCCACACAGAAGTAGCACTTCGTCTCCGGCGTCCAGTCCTTCAGCCTGTCCTCAACTGGTGGCGGCTGCAGCGTAGTCTTTTCGTTTTCTTTTTCCTTGTGTTCCGTGGTGACGGCGGAATCGCCGCCGCCGTCGTCGTTTTTCGGCGTCGATGATGAGGTATACGTGGCGGTGTTGTTGTCTTTTTCGTGGTGGTTGTTCTGTTCCACCTCTTTGTTGCTGTTGTGGTTGTTGTTGTGATGATCTTTCGGCGTCTTCACGTTGTTGTTTAACGGTTGCAAATAATTCCTCGACATGGACTCTTGGTACAGTTTCCATTTCCTCCGACCCATCAACTCTTCAGCGATTCGTTCCAACCCTGCGGCAAAAGAACCACATCACAGATATTATGGTTAATGTTAGTAATATTTTAAAAACGTTTAAAAATTTGAATAAACGTATATCTTTCTTTCCAAGTAGAGTCAGAAGCTTTCTGTCGTGATCGAATACGATTGGAAAATCGAGATATTACTACGTTATTAATTTTTTATTGGATGTTATTGTGTGCGACACAGTGAAATTAGCCTGAAAGTATTGGTTATTTAAAATTCTTCACCATCATACTAAATTAGTTTCAGGTGTTGTGACAACACTGAAAGTGAAATATTTTCCACGATAATAGCAGTTTTACACTATGATGTGGATATTTTGTTTATGATTCAGTTTTCAGTAAATAAATTTATTCCAAAACCTCCACACCCATTCGTTATTATTCAGTTCATTAAATGATAAGAATTAGGTTTACATGACTGGCATGTAAAACGGTTTAATTTAGGGTGACGAATAACATGTTTTAAAAAGTTTTGAACATTTAAGCAATGGTAAGAAAATTAGCCCAACATACTAATAAATAACAAACAAAAAACATATATGTTAACACCAATTGGGCGTTGAAAAAAGAGAACAATTTCATTTATATCACATACATCCCGTTTTATTTAAAACTGGCTTTTTTCTGCTTAACACCAACAGCCTTTTGTGAAATAATTAACAAAATGTGTGTGCATATGGTAGTTTACTCACGTACTGTATTGGAAACCTCTTGCTGTTTAGCATTTAGTATTTAAATATCCGCAAAATGAATCATTCAGTATTTGGTTCGGCGCGCAGTGGTCGGAAAGTTTTGTATATTTAATATTCAAACTTTTTTTGAATGATGACAACACATGTTCATTTTTTATCAATTGGGGTTCGTTAATTAAAACCTGAAAACAAATTATACGCTTTTGCATATTTATAAAATATAAAAGTATGCTGAAAATTCAGTCTTTGTTGCAAAACTGAAGCTGTACCATGGATGAAAAGACAAACATAGACAAAATTAAAATACATATATAATAAAAGTCTATTTTCATAATTAACATGACATACCTTTAAAAAATGTACTTTTATTTCTATGCAGCATCGAGCAAGTAAAACATCTGCAATATTCGCGCAATATATGTATTTTTATTATTACTAAATGTGGCGAACCAAACCTACACAAAAAAGCAACATAACAGAATATTTTTAAAATACAAGCAAAACTATTAAAGCAAGTAAAAAAAAAGTTTGAAATAAGCAACAAGAAACTATAAATTTACGTTATTTTTATGTAGCTTACGTGTAAATATGTATTTTATGTCTGAAAAAACTGATATTAATTTAATGAATGCAGAACAATTTATTCATCCCCTGTAGAAAGTTAATGTCATCACATTCTTTTTAAATAAGTGTTTTTTAAAGAAGGTACTGCAACATTGTTGGGGCTTTAATAACATACTTTTATTTTTTATTGTATATACAGGATGCTCTAAAAATAGTAATTTAGGCAATAAGTAACGTTATTAGACTTTTCACATTACGAAGAGAATGTTCGAAGAACGAGGGGCGATAGCCCCGAGTTCTTTAAAATTCCCAAGTAAAATAAAACCCGGTAACTATATTTAAAATTTGATATTTTCATTAATAAAAAATACAAATTAAAATTTTGCTAAAATTGCAGCCTGCATCTGTTGTACTCGGTCTATATAACTCACTAGAAAGTCAGCCATTGACAGTGAAACATTAAACATTATCTTCGGTTATTGCATAGTGATAATTGATTACACTCTTGACAAAGTGGTATAATCCCTTTTGTGTTTCGCTTGATCCAAGATAAATTATAATTGTGGTGTTCCAAGCTCAGTGTAGCGTGTTTGATAATAATGAATGCAGTGGTGATAACACTACTATATATATGCAATTCATTGCGCTATTCAAAATATATACTGGATGCATACAAATTTTTTAACAATAATATCTCCTGGGTTAATTAAAAGTATCAATCTGATTTGAAGCTCTCCGTAGAGTTATTTTTTCATATGATATTTAACTCCTTACTTAAAAGAGGGGTGTCTGGTATATCGTGTTAATATTAACCAAAGTGTGGAATGTACACAGATGATCGATTAAACTTGAGCTTGCTTAAGGCTATGCAAGTATGAGACAGTGTCCTGATTAGTTCGTATGATTACACAAGCGACTGATAAACACCATTGTATAAGGTTATGTTATCTGAAACTTCCTGTTAAAAAAGAAATGTCAATAGTGTTACTGTTGGAGACTTTTAGAAATTTATACTTAAGTCAGTTGAGAAATTTTTTTTTCGTTTTTCGTAATCGTATTTAAATTTAATTTGTCACATAATTTCACATAAAAATTCGAAAATACATATATTATGCATCTAGTAAGTTGGTTGCTAATCAACATTAGTAAACTAAAATTTCTTAAGAAAAACTGACTGTCGATATTATTGATAGCTTAAATATCATCAAGAAACAATTAGCCGTTGACTTCTCTACTAAATATTTAGTAACATTTTTTTAACGCAAAAAATGCTGTTAATTACCCCAACAGGTGAACACAATTTGAATTTTAAATAAAGCAAAATTTGGCGACTTTTCTTGACTAAAAGTTGCAAGGATTGGCAAATTGTTCCAACTACTCTTTCATTTCACTTTTTCTGCTAGAAAATGTCAGTGACTTGTCCAACTATACCGAATAGTAGGGTGTTCATCACCACTTTTTCGTTGAACCTTGTTCAAAGCAGAAACAATCTGATTAATAACTCACTTTTGAAAAAATGTTCCGTCCATCGTTTTCTAGTAATCTCTGTGGTTATTTTTGCAAATTAATAAAAAGTTGCATTCTTCTAAAAAGCACAAATGCAACCCGCATACAAAATCGTAAATCTTGAACTTTCACTTGAAATTTTGTTGAGTGACTCCAGTAATATTAGCTGCAATAACAAAATTTTGGGATCGTTTAATTGTTTAATAGGGGAGTAATAATTTTGAAAAAAGTTGTACCCCTATGAAATTCTAAATGTCTACAGATTTTTTTTTCATTTTATTGTCAAATGAATCATTGCAGGTATTTTCTGAATACAAAATCATCGAAAATTTCGGTTGTTTTTTTTTTGTCAGGAAGTTGATAAGTTTTCTTTTGGTAAAAAAAACTGAAGAAACTGGTATATCTCACCTAGTGCACGGAGCATTTCTTGAACCCAAATTTTATTTACTTTCATATTTTCTCGATGTGTCATGACCTCTAGAGTACGAAAAAATGGGTCTTCCGTTTCCGTCTGTCTGTCTGTCCATCCGCCACCTGTATCGATTTTTATTGGACAGACAATCTCCGAAACTACTGGACCGATTATTGTCCAATTTAATGTGTATTATGAATACCATTTAAATTGTAGATGATAAAACGCTAACCAACCAAACTTTGTCTAGTCATCCCCATCAACAATACGATGACGTCACCTCTTCACCTCAAAATGATACATGATAAATGGGTTTTAAATTGTATAAAACAAGATAAGCCTAGACATGTAATTTATGAATACGTATTGGGTTATTACCCGGGACATCCAGATTTTTAGAAAAAATTAATAAATATCCAAATAAATAAAAATTATAGAACAATATTTTTTATTTCATTTTAAATCTGCAAAACCGAAAGTTTTGAAATGTTCCAGACGTCTTAAAGTTTTACAGCATGATAAATTTTAATTAAAATATATTTGTTTATCTTCTCTAAATAATTAATGACTTCATCTAGAAATTTTGCCGAGTAAATCCTGTCTAAAATGTGCAAAATATGATGAGTCTAGACTTGTGATTTGCCACTGCATTCATATTTTTTAGAATTACTTATACAGGATGAAAAAAAAATAAAATTCTCAAAATCAAATGTTATAATTTTTCGAAAAATCTGAATATGTTTTACAACAATGGATTTCGGAAACGACATACGAAAAAAAAAACAAAAGCTGGTGACATCGCGTTCTTCTGACCAAATTTTTATTCAGGCACCCGATATCTGTCTACACATTTAAAAAATTGGTGACGCTATCGCACAGCCCCGGTACGACGCCTATGGCCTATCGAGGGTTTTCTAGTATGTGCGGCGATGATGGGTAACCGGAAGTCTCGATTGCGGGGTCCCGAAAAACCTCGAAGCGGCGTTCGCGACACATCGAGAGGAATGTATGCGTTTAAATAGAGACCACCGTCGGGAACGATTATGATTCAGCCAACAAGTCGAGTCCAGTGAATGTTGAGATAATCCAGTCAAGTTGCGCCAGAATTATTTTCTACATAACGCTGTGTAATTAATCGTCTAAATTTGAGTTACTAAAAACATTTTGATTCATTAAAATACACTTATTTTGAAATTCATTCATACAAATTTTTCGAGAAAAAAAACTTACCATTAATTTTTTATATTTTACAGTTTATTTCAGAAATGACATTTTAAATTCGAAATTTAATTAAGACATTAACTTCATTTGGGATTGCGGGACATACACTATAAATTATTTATCCACTCCCGTCAGAAAGTTGATGATGTCATCTCAAAGAAGAGCAAATATTTATTTACGAAATTCGCTCAGATATCAAATTCAGCGTTACTTGTACGTACCTTATACAGTATCTACTCAGAATGAATTTGTTTAACCCCACCAAAGCCTTGATGACGTCTCAAATAAGTCTATATTGAAAGATACGCCCTGCGATATATTCCTTGTATTCAAGAGATCAAAGAAATTAAATTTTTTTAACTTTAACTCCTGTACATATTCGTACTAAAACAAAACAAAAATAATACAACTATACAGTATGTTCCACTTAAAGACACCAAAAATATCTGCAACATTCAGTTTGATATAAAAATTGTAATCGTTACGTATAATCCGAAATTAATTTTTACCAGCAAAATTCTCTGAGGAGCATCAATTATACAGGGTGTCTGTAAGATGGCGGATTAATTCTCCGTTACGCTCTTAACAATCAA